GGATGATCTGTCCCTTTGCATGCAGATGAACCCACTAGACGCAAAAATAGTTGGGGATTCACCCCCCACCTCTCTGTGGCAAGCAGTAGCCGCCTCCCTAAAAAGTCATGGTCTGACAAGGTTCAAACACTTTCCTCCTACTCAGTAGTAGTGTAGTCACCTCACAACAAAGATTAGATGACAACACCCCACTATGGACCAGGAACATAGTTCTGGCGTGCGTCTCACTACCACTTTCAAGACTAGGTTATAATTTCCTCAAAGCCACATTTCAGGGAAATAATAACATAGGGTTGCAACTTTCTTTAGGGTACGCTTCACACATTGACCATTTTCTCGCGAAATTCACTTTCTCAAGCAAATGGTCACTCCATTCACCTCCGAATCCGCATCGGATGTGGATTTTGTGTAACATTTCTAACCCCTTTTTAAAAGATCAACCCATGCATATAAAAAAAAACAAAATGGCTATGAATGAATAATTCTGAATAATTCAGATAGGCACAGATCCAAAGGGTTATACACAGGTAGAATAAATTTAGACAGATGGTTCATGCAGCCCGTCATAGATGAATAAGACTCAGATAGATAACATCAAGCAAATAGTCTTGTATGAGTCGACATTTAAATATGCTTAAGAAAAAATCTGATGCGGATGGATGAATTTTATATATAGACTGAAAAGTATAACCTCAAAATGATAAACGCAAATGCTAAAATAGATAGGATGTTTATGACTTTTCCTCACGAGAGACCTTAGATAAAAAAATAATACCTCTTTCTAAGACAAGTTATTCCCTACCGCTAGCGTGCCATGACAACTTAGGCAACTCACTGACTATGTTAAAGTACCAAAGATCCTTGCTCGGGTAACCAATTATGCAGAGTCGCATCAACTGCAAACGACGATCGGACTATGACATTGGATACACATAGCACCGTCCGTATTATTTTCTAGTACATTGATCCGCAAATGTATAAACTGCAGTTGCTACTACTCATCACCTACTTACTTAACGCCATTAGCAAAATTTGTCGTTTTGCCTAGATCATCAGCCTGCACTTAACCTGGGTTCGTTCTCTTAAGGACCCCGGTAGGCAGTCGAGATCCCCGACAACGGCGCCACCTGTCGAGCGCATCGGTCCCACACAGGGACCCTCCCGGCCACGTCACGCAGGATTACGCAGGACTTGTCGCGGAGAGCGTTTGTCGCTCCGGCCGAGTGCGCCAACCATACCTCTCGCGAGCCCCTACGACAGGACAGGGTCACGCGAGGCACCGCTTACCTCCACCTGCGGGAGCTGTCACCATCCCTTAGGTGGGCGTATCCCCGTCGAGCGGCTGAACCACATGCGAAAGTTTTTCGTATGCAATTGCAGAGGTGGCCCAACCGACGGCGTTTCTCGTTCGCTGTAGCATAGGGGGTACGCGTGGTCGAACGCCCAAAATCGAACCCGCGCGCGAGTCGACGTTCTGGGGGGCTGACGTCCCAGACGCGACTTGACGTCGGTCGACTAGGACGCATCCACGCGTTACACCACAACACTCACACACATGGAAGGCCACAAAACAAATAACACAACAACACAACACCACGACAACACAACAACACTCCTAGTCCCTTCAGTATTCGACCTATAACTTTCAGATGTAAACATCGGATAGGCGTCAAGCGCGAGGCTTAGTATTAAATCGCGTGGACGCAGGGCTACTCATATCAATCCGCAATGCAAGCGTACGCAAGCGGTCGCAACGATGGCGTACTATGTAGTACCCATACTTACGCGATCCTCGATAATCTCGAGGGTCGCGTTCGACACTCAAGTGTCGACTGACACGAGCTTTGAGGGTTAATCTCTCGACGCTGGACAACCACCAAGTGCAGTTGAAGACCACACCCTCTTCTGCACCCTTTGCAGAGGGGTTGAGTAGACAGCTCAAGGCTGTCGTGGCGACCAGAAATAAAGGGTTTTGACTTTGACGGTTGCCACGGACTACAATGTCCAACCATGCTAATTCTAAAAAGCAAGAGCTAAGAAGGGATCTTTTTTTTCTCTCGAGGCAGAACTTATGTAGTCACTGTGCGCGACCTCGACGGGTCATGCGGACACGAAAAAGTATGATATAAAAGTTATGAGATAGGAAACGATCACTCTCACAATCACGGTGTGACTTCCTTCAAATATATATACATATATAATCATACGCAAAACTAAGTCTGAACTTCAATTCACAGAACATACTTGTAATCACATCAAAAATCCACATCAACAGAGCACACACTACACGGGGTCAACTTCAACCATTTTTTGCGCCGACATCCCTTGCTTTAGCCATACAAGCCTCACTCTTTGCGCAACTCTCAAAATAAAGTACTCAGCATCTTTATTGAATGGTCATTAAATTAAAGTCCCGGTAAAAACACAACCAATAAATCAAACCACATGGCTAAAGCCTTTTAGGTTGACTGGCAAGAGTGAATTAGAGTTGAGCCAGAAACCGACCTGTTATCAAAAGATAACAAAAGATGATCTTTGTAGGATCAGCTTGAAACTAGTCAAGTTTTGAATCAATCTGAATAACGATGACCTGCAATGCAGCACAGGCCAGTACCCAAGCCATGCTTGAGTGATCCAATAGTAATCTTACTTTCCTAACTAACCTCTGATGTTTATCTAAAGAAATTCCGGCAGCATATCCCCTAAATAGGATAGATTGTCAGAACTTTCCTAGCTGAAAGTACTCTAACTTTCTAAATTCTGCAAAATTTTGGCAACGCTTCCCGTAGGAAAAGTGCCTTCCCATAATTTCTACAAGTCCAAAAATGACTAACTCTTTCGGATTTTTAGAAATTTCGACAGCGCTTCCCGTAGGAAAAGTGGGCTACCGAGATTTATACAAAGCTGAAAATAAAAATGCAAGACAAAACTATACCTGGGACTAACTTCTAACACCTGCTTGATAACTTAGGCTGAACATTAGTCTGCATGCCCTCTCAGTGAGACCATTAGCCAATGCTGATCCTAACCCTCAGCAGAGTCGGTCATATCTCATCCCAAGCTTCCCTCTCATCATCCATCTTACCTACCTATGGCTCCAACACTTGGCGAGCATCTACAACAACTACTCTATCAAAGATAATACCCCAGAGATGACCTTCAAAAACATGCATAGGTGAGTGCAACATTTCTCACCAACCCTCAAGTTCCTTTCCAGGTCACATAGTTCGTTCAAAAACCCTAATTATTCCCTTTTTACACTTCCTTACATAAGACATAGGGTCAGCCAACCCAACTTATGGATGTGACTTACCTGCCAATTTATATGACTAGGTCACACTAACTTATGGTGCCCTAGCCTGGTAACACAAATATACGTACCATTAAGACCAAACCACACCAACTTATGGTGTGACTAGTTTCTGCAAAACAATCGACATAAGGTGTATGACCGGGCTGCATCAACTTATGGTGAGGCTGGTGAGCCTGAACGTTGGCATACACGTAGAACTGAACCTCCTCAACTCATGAGGGGCCAGCCTCTGCCTAAACAGCAACAAAAGGCATATGACCAAACACAACAACTTATGTTGTGTTCGGCCAGCCCACACGGTTACATACGGCGTAGAGTCAGGCTACCCAACTTATGAGTAGTCTAGCCCAGCCTAGACATAATCACATGCGCAAAGAAGTGAACAGCCCGCAACTTATGCGTTCGCCCAGCCTTCGCAATGTTCAACTTATAGACATAAGTCATAAAACTTACCACAACAACTTATGTTGTGATAAGTCTCTGTCTGAACAAAATGACATAAGGCATATAACCAGGGCGCACCAACTTATGGTGAGACTTGATCARCCTAACTCTCGGCATATACAAAAAAAATTRAACCTCCTCAACTTATGARGAGYCCAGCCTTTGCCTGAACGAACGACGAAAGGCATATGACCAGACACAACAACTTATGTTGTGCCTGACCAGCCCACAAAGTGACATATAGCATAAGACTAGGCTACCCAATTTATGAGTAGTCTAGCCTCGCCTAAACAACAACAAGTGCATGACCGAACAACCCGCAACTTATACGTTCGCCTGACCCTCGCAACACAACTACATCCAATAGATAAGTTTCACAATCAGATTCAGTTTTCAGACGAGTGACCAGATCACCTTAACTCATGAGGATCCCCACCCAAGCGTCAGTTATGTTTAGAAAAGGAAAGTAGCCAGACTTTATATATCTCTCTGCTTTCACGTTATCAAGGACATAGGACCAACTACCTAACTTATGGGTGAGTCAGCCTGCCCACAGTTACCACACCATTTTGTATTGTTCATCTTCTTTCCCTCTGCTTTGTCTGCTACCGGCTTATATGGCTGGATCTCCCAACTTATGGCGTCCAACCTGCCATGAATATACATAATAAATAATGTATCACTTTGTAAGCTCTGATTCTCTTAGTGATGGCGGCTCATGACTTGACCACACCAACTTATGGTGTGAATAGTCTCGCCTGGAACAATAAAGCATAAGAAAACAGAAGAGGAGAAGAGAAGAGGAGCTTTCGGCAAACAGCCTCACGCATGAGCCAGGATAGAGAAATTCACCCATAAACAAGATCTTGGACGCACACAAAAAAGCTTGGTACGATATACAAAGGAACGATCCAGGCTGAAAGATTTACATGAAAAAAAAGGTGAAGCTCAAGACAAATATTCATGAAGTGCAGAGCTCCAAAATATCAAACCCAAAGAACCGAAACTTAAACCACCATCATCACCCACAAACCAATGCGGCTATCCCTCAACGTGTTTCTACTACCCCGCCAGTAGCTTCGTCAGGAGGTACCCTGATCTAATCGAACCACAACTCAATAAGGAGACCAATACCATTGCCTTGTCCCCTTTTATACCCTATCCTACCCCGACACACTCCAACCTTCTATATAGATGGATTTTGGCAAACTCACCCGATGGCAACACGGGAAACTCCATGCTAGACGGTGAACCCATGAGATCTCGGCAAACAAAGCCTCCAGTATCCATACTCCCGAAGAAAAGCAGCAGAACCTAGCGCGAAAGAGAGTCTAGATCCCTGCATCCACAGCAAAACACATAAGACATACGCACAGAAGACACAACACAGACAGAACAAAGAAGAACCGACGAAGTCGTCGTAGCCTCCAAACACCAGGCGAGGAGATCATAAAGAGCCATCAACCCAGCGAGCGCATTCCTCAGTAATCCAGACGGCTCCACCCGCAGTCGAGCCACCATAGATGTCCTTCAAACCGCGCACATGATAGGAGGGCCGAAAGGTTATCAGAGAGCACACTCCCATCAAACCTAGAAGCCCTTCCAACCGCAAGCTAGCAGGCGATCCAAAGAAAACACAGTCAGGTCACGACGCAGCGCGTAGGTGCATAAGCACACAACATGATCGATACCGGAGACGTCCTCCAAACCACTCATGGCAGGAAGCCAGGAGCGCCTCAAACGATAGTCATGAGGAACCACAAGTAGCGCGTCAATGCGCAGGCGCGTCGCGTCATCAATGAAAGAGGACTTAGGCATCCGCCCATCTCCAGATATAGTAGGCGCAAGGAGGAAGAGATCCCCCGACGTCGTCAGAAAACCAGAGAACCGCCTAACAGCGGTAAAAGTCGGGCGGGAAAAAAAGGCGCCACCCGAATTTGAAAAGCAGATCAGTCTGTCCCACATTCGGAAGCCGGCTAAAAAAGCCAAAAAAAAAAACCATGAAAAATCGGGGTCCCCTCCGCATCCCATGCGACAAAAGGTCGTAAATGAGGCCGTACGGGCCTAGGAGCAGGCTTCGAAAATGCTCCCCGCATGTTCGAATTTGAAAGGCAGAACAATCCACCCCTTGGTCAGGCTCCAAAATAAGGCCAAAAATCCGGGGACGCCCCCGCACATATCTTTCGACAAAAAGGCATAAACCGGGGCAATATGAGCCCAGGTAAGGCAAATCGGGCAAACTGTCAGTTAAACCCTCAGGAAGTCATTCGGGCTACAATGGCAGCCTCAGTTGAGCCCGATTTTTCTGCAAAACCAGAAAAGGCACGAGTAATAAGCTTCATCGGGTATCTACGTAGAACCAGTTCCCGACGAACCGCGATGAAAGCAGTCATGCGTCCGAATCTATCCGAAGAAAGTTGACACACACTATGCAGAGTACTAGTGATAGCACCAATCTTAGCGTGTTTAGAAGAATAAGAATCAAAGTCCTGGAAAGAGCCGAAGGTGAGCCGCCCCAGGCGCCAGAGACTATCCGCATTCTTAACAATGGCCGAAGTACGGATAGTTGCCCCCAAACGCTCAACTAGGACACCAGCAAAAGTCCAGGACTCAGACCTAGTATCAGTTCTTTCAAGCCTGAGGTGCTTTTCGTAACAGAGCTGAAAGGAGTCCAAGATTTGCTCAGCCCGATAGGGATTATTCTGGGCTAGGACAGCAACAAAGATTGTTACATCGTCAACGATCCTAAACCCAAAAACAAGTCGTTTGTCCAAGCCCAGAGAACAAAGAAACCGGTTCTCGGCAAATGCACATAGGATACAAGCTAAAGAACAGCTGGTCGACTTACCCATCGGGACCCCAATAATCTGTTTCAAAAATCTCTGTTCATACCAAATGTAGGTGAAACTCAAATCAATACCAACCATGTCATGAATTTCTCGCAGAGAGATTCGAACACAGTAGGCCGATGAGAACCAAATGACGAATAGGCTGCCTTCCCCCGTCGAGCAAGGTTAACGCCCATATATCCCTTTTTCCGAAAAAAAAGTAGCAACCAAGCGACTGCATCGCGAATCTCCTCTTGAGGCAAAGACACAAACATGTCCTTGACATCAAAGGAGGCCGACATAACGTGAAGTATGTCCGGATAGCGCCTAAGTTTGTCATTCATCTTGCGTAGCCCAAAGGTGACCAAATCAACGGACTTAAGATTGAAGTTCGAATCCCGAGGCAAGGCAAAGAGCAAGCAATTCAACGCCCTAGCTACCCGAGAGGAGGCCAGACGTGTTGGCTCCGTAAAAGTCGGGGAGATAGGACACCATCTAAGGAGATCTTTATGCTTAGGTAAGACATAAGCCTTACCAAAACACCCCTTGGGATCCCATTTCCCCAACCTTTTCAGCCCATGACCGCAGAACAGCTCCTTCATCTGCTTCAGGATTTCATCCTCGGATTCTTCCGTCGGTTGAAAGGAGGGATTAAAATCAAAAGCAATCCGCAAGAAATGTCGATACAACACTACACAAATAACCAAAGTATCAGCAAAGTTCCGATCAATCGAGACACAAACAAACCATCGCAAACGCACAATCCAAGGTCTCATGTACGAGTTCAACCAAGGATCCTTAGGCCGCTCATCAGACCAACATCCTCGCAACAGAATAGGGTCAATTACAAAAGAAGACCGAAGTATCCTGCAAACCGCGACCAACTCCTTTCCCAGACCAGTGATCCCCATATAATGATCAGACAGAGGAATGTTCCGTGACTTCCGGAAAAGCTCCAGCAGAGAGAGAATGTCATCAATCCGAGTCATCACATGCAGCCCATGCCTTCTCCATCCAATTTCATCCTCACATGCACATTCTACCGGCGCATCCCCATGCACAAACCGGTTCTGCGTCCAGATCAACTCCCCTATCTTCTTATTCTTTTTCCATACAAGGCGTATGCATCTCTTGACCAGTTCAGGAACGGAAAATGGAAAAGCAGAATCATCTATTATCCGAACCACCAGGTCCAAAATAAATCTGGACTGCAGCCGATGATCAAACACGACACGTACCACAATTTTTCTACGGACATCGAAACCAATCTTTCTCTTAATCGCAAGATCTACGACTGCCTTTAAAGTCGCTCGGGTATCTTTACCGGAGAAGGCCCTTGCTGCTTTGAATAGACGAACCAAACTATCCACGGACCTCTTTCCCAAGCCCCTCCGTCTCCACAGCTGCTGGAGCAAAAGTCGAAGTTCGCCCTTCTGGATAGTCCTACCGTTAGGTGTTATCATCAACGGACCGATGAGAAAGTCACCACCCGCCTCCAAAGGCCGGCGGACATCACAAAGACAGGAATAGCGGTTACCCAGAGAGACAGGCGAAGTACCAAAGACCCTTCGGATTGTCGACCACTTGTCAGCCCAACAATCCCCAGGTGAGACTATAATACGCACATAGCGCTCCGCAACGACATGAGCTTGTCTCAGTAAACCTATCAAACTGTCAGTCCAAGGACCATTCTCAATACGAAACTTAACGAAAGCCGAAACATAAGGACCCGAAACCGGATGCCCCTTCCTTCGTTGGCAAGATAACCTCGGAACCCTGCTGACACGTCGTCTATCCCGTCTAGAGTTGAGAAAGGGATCCATTTATCGAATGACAGCTCGCTCAGCGGTTCCTACCGAAGACAGCCCGTTAACCAATGGTACATACACATACTTCCATACACCAAAATGTCGCAGCCATTTGTACAACCTAGGACAAACACCGGACCCACCAGCAAAGGTGGTCCAGACGTGTTCCCCCCACCGTACATACAGCCCCCTAACTGAACTCCCTACGTATTGTGCCCGACACCAAGGTGAGGTCAGAAGATAGACGACCGGCCCATTATCCCAGGAGAGCCAGTCCAGAGAACGAATCAGGCCTTCGAACTTCTTACACCAAGCGATCTCACCAACCAAGGCCAAAGAAACAAAGCACAACGTACAACATTTGTCGTATATAAGCCGGATTCATGGAGGCAGATCAAAAATGAAGGCATCAATCCTGCTTTTCATAACATCCAACATATTCCGCCAAAGATAAAATGCAGAGAAGCGTGCTAGTCACGCAGGATTGGACTCGGCGTTCTCAGGTGAGTGAGGTGGGGAAGCTGCCGCAGCCTGAGCCGGGACCAAAACGGAGCCCTCATAAGCCAGCTTCGTTCACGCAGCTATAATCCGATCAATAGAGGGTCCCTTAGTGCAGTAGTGAAGACCCTCATTAACACAAATCTTCTTCAGTTGATCCTGGCAAAGTCCCTCCAAAGTTCGGCATTGCTCAAGAATGTAGTGAAGGATACCATCCGGTCCCCCACCAGCCGGTACCTTCCTCCTCCTATCTTCCGCCTGCCTGGAGCACTCTGCACGAGTGCGAGCATCGTCCGCCACAGACCCATCCATATTGAAGGTTGGCTGTCGAAAAGCCACACCCCCTAACAGAGGTGTCTTACCCCGCCTCCATTTCTCCCGAAGAGTGTACAGTCGTCTGATTTCGTCATCAATGTCATCCACCTCACCAACGTCATCATCTCTTACCTCCCTTCTTCGGGATGAGGGCGGCGTACGTGTCAAACGGATTTCCTCTCGCCTAGCTTCGTCACGGTTCACGATAAACTGTCGACCGAGTAGAGCCAGCAACTCGGCTTTCGTAGCTTCACCATGTCGTGCCGTTTCCACCTTAAGCCGCTCCTGGATATGTTGACGATCCTCCATCTCCTTCTTGAGTGCTTCCTGCTGCTTGCGCTCCTGAAGGAGAGTCCGGATGAACTCTTTTTCTTCCAAGTCTTCCGTATTACGACGCGGGGTCCAGAAGCGCGGCGTGGTCCGCGTAGGAGTCGCAGCCCCATTGGAGACCGGGTCTCGAGGATTCGCACGGCTGGAAGGACACTCCCTGGCGAAATGACCATCCCCCTCGCATGAAAAACACTTCAGATTACTAGCCATGGAAAAAGTAGGGAGCAAAGCGCAAACGAGTCAAAACGGAACAGCCTAATCGTGCCTAATGAATACGCCACACCTACAGTTTCGTCGCTTAGAGTAAAAAACACCCGAAAAAGAGGATCCTCAAGAAAACCCACGTATCTAGGTAAACTCCGCGTCGTATCAGAAAAAACACATCAAAACATCAAAGGAAAAAAGTCGCCATACCTTAAGATGAAACCAAAACAGACGAACATCCAATACGATCAGGGTCAGTTTAAGGACGACGAGCCGCGCAGAACACACTCCAAATGAAAAGGAAACATCGAACGATCTCCAATCAAGGAGCCCACCCCCCACCATCCAGTCGTAGGCGCGGCCACCAATGAATGTGCAACTGCATTCACGGATACCGCGTTATTCAGAGAAGAGGAGTTGTTGGCAAACAGTCTCCCGCATGAGCCAGGATAGAGAAATTCACCCATAAACAAGATCCTGGACGCACATAAAAAAGCTTGGTACGATATACAAAGGAACGATTCAACCCGAAAGATTTACATGAAAAAAAAAGGCGAAGCTCAAGACAAATATTCATGAAGTGCAGAGCTCCAAAATATCAAACCCAAAGAGTCCAAACTCAAACCACCATCATCACCCACAAACCAATGCGGCCATCCCTCAACGCGTTTCTACTACCCCGCCAGTAGCGTCGTCAAGAGGTACCCTGATCTAATCGAACCACAGCTCGATAAGGAGACCAATACCATTGCCTTGTCCCCTTTTATACCCTATCCTACCCCGACACACTCCAACCTTCTATACAGATAGATTTTGGCAAAGTCACCCGATGGCAACACGGGAAACTCCATGCTAGACGGTGAACCCATGAGATCCTGACAAACAAAGCCTCCAGTATCCATACTCCCGAAGAAAAACAGCAGAACCTGGTGCGGAAGAGAGTCTAGATCCCTGCATCCACAGCAAAACACACAAGACATATGCACAGAAGACACAACACAGACAGAACAAAGAAGAACCGACGAAGTCGTCGTAGCCTCCAAACGCCAGGCGAGGAGATCATAAAGAGCCATCAACCCAGCGAGTGCATTCCTCAGTAATCCAGACGGCTCCACCCGCAGTCGAGCCACCATAGATGTCCTTCAAACCGCGCACATGATAGGAGGGACGAAAGGTTATCAGAGAGCACACTCCCATCAAACCTAGAAGCCCTTCCAACCGCGAGCTAGCAGGCGATCCAAAGAAAACACAGTCAGGTCACGACGCAGCGCGTAGGTGCATAAGCACATAAGAGGATCGATACCGGAGACGTCCTCCAAACCACTCATGGCAGGAAGCCAGTAGCGCCTCAAACGATAGTCGTGAGGACCCACAAGTAGCGCGTCAGTGCGCAGGCGCGTCGCGTCATCAATGAAAGAGGACTTAGGCATCCGCCCATCTCCAGATATAGTAGGCGCAAGGAGGAAGAGATCCCCCGATGTCGTCAGAAAACTAGAGAACCGCCTAACAGCGGTAAAAGTCGGGCGGGAAAAAGAGGCGCCACCCGAATTTGAAAAGCAGATCAGTCTGTCCCACATTCGGAAGCCGGAAAAAAGCCAAAAAAGAAAACCACGAAAAATCGGGGTCCCCTCCGCATCCCATGCGACAAAAGGTCGTAAATGAGGCCGTACGGGTCTAGGAGCAGGCTTCGAAAATGCCCCCGCATGTTCGAATTTGAAAGGCAGAACAATCCACCCCTTGGTCAGGCTCCAAAACAAGGCCAAAAATCCGGGGACGCCCCCACACAAAACTTTCGACAAAAAGGCATAAATCGGGGCCATATGAGCCCAGGTAAGGCAAATCGGCCAAACTTATGGTGTGGTCCAGTGTCGTACCCCCGTTCACCGTTCACGGCCTTGGTGAACGCGGGCCGGTCAGCGTTCACCAAATCCGTGAACGCCGGGAGTTCACGGAGTGAACGCAGAGCGTGAACCATGTTTTTTTTTTTTTTTCGCCTGGTGGTGGTAGGTTTTTTTTGCACAGACATGCGCGGAGTGCAAACGGGCACATGCCCATATTTGGGTTTTTTTTTTGTCAATCGGAATTTTTTTTTTTAAATTTTGGGAAAAAAAAAAAAAAAAAAGGCCTACCAATTTCGCCGAATTTTTGTATGTGCACCAACGTGGGGCTACCTACTACAACGGCGGTGAGATTTTCAGATCGGATGGCAAGGAGCCACTTTGAGGAGGGCTCAGGAGGCGCCCGGTCGTTTGTT